ATTTTTACTGTGATTATTTTTGTATTAGCTATATTCTCATGCTTTCTCTGTTGCTTCAAAAGAGCTATAGGAGATGCCTTTTTACTAAATACAGAGAGAGGAGCTGTGGAGGAAGCCCAGTCCTCTGACAGGCTCCCTCCCTGGAAATCTGCCCCAAGATAAGACAAAACCACTTAGTCATGGTGACTAAGCTGTGGACCCCTTCCTGATTCAGGACCCTATGTTATCTCCCTGTTAACTACTGGGCATCTTATCCTGGTCTCAGACCGCTGGCCCCTTTTCCAATTCTTCCCTTCCTGATAAAAATCCCAGCTTTTGCCCAGATCATCATTGGCCACTTCGCTGAAACCTGCAGTAGAGGACCCTGCAGAACGCCACATGGTCTCCCATCTCTCGTCTGTGTGTAGCTGGTGCAACCCATGAGCGGAGCTGGCTGGGCTGATCTGAACTGATCATGGCAAGATCAGAAATCACTTCTAAAACAGCTGATCACTTGAAGCCTCAGGCCAAGGTCCCAAGGGTTACCCCTGGCTGGAAACTGCCTGGAACTCCCCAGACAGCGGCTCCTCCCCGGGATGTCTATCTGGGATTGTTGCTGGCAGAGCTGGGGGTCGGACAGACACCCAGACCCAACTGCAGCAAAACACAGCTCATGTTTAATGGAGGATGTGATCAGCACATGAAGCAAACCTCACATAAAATGTCATCCGATCTCTGAAATTCCTAGGAAAAAAAAATTAAAAATGTTAAACTGTTAACAGAGTAAAGTTTTCTGTATGTGTGTGCAAAAACCTCACATTTCACATCTCTTCTGAAACAGACACAGTCACACCTTAAAAACTATACGAACATTTATAGTGACATTTACAGTAGTACTTAAGGTAGAAGTTCAGAATTCCGAGACAAATTATAAACAGAAATGTGATGACCACTCTCTTCCATGCAACCCCTGAAATCCAGGCTTATAGCATGAGCATGAAAACAGCAGAGAATAACTGCTATATATTCTTGCTAACCACAGAAGTATAGGTCATTCCAGGGGGAGCAATAAGCCACAAGTGGAAATCTTAAAATTAAATATTTTTCATAATTTATAAATTGCACTACTTTGCAGTAATACAATCACCGTAATTCCATTAAAAAATAGCTTTATAGCACTATGATTGTTTAATTACAGTATGAAATATTACTGCTTTGTTTTATAAGCTTTCTTATACTATTTTTCCTTAATTGGCTTTCTACTTATGGCATCAATATCTCCAATGTGGACATAACTTGTATATGATAAAAGAAAAATTAATAAATACCACTTAGTATGACAAAATTAATGTTTTAGTCACACAGATAGACACTAAATACAATCAAATTTTAAGTGCTTACATGCAGTAGCTCAAAACACTTCTTTTAACAAAAAAACAACACTTAAAGCAATGTCCTCAACACTAGACAAAAAGAAATTTTCAGTATTTCTGCACTCCAGCCACTGAGCATCAGCCCTGGACACGCCAAGAAGCACAAGACTGATTGTAAGATTCCTGAGTAGCAAAAAGGCCAGCTGCAACAGCAATCACACTGGAAGTGAGGAAGCACAAGGCAGAGAACATGCAACAACAGCAGGGAAAGGCCCTGAGCTCCCAGGAACAGGAACTGGCACCAGCACCACTCTACTGGCTGCACCTTTATGACTCCATCCTCAGAGCAGATGAAGATCATCCCAAATTAGCATTTCTTGTGATCACTTCACTTAAAAGAGCAAATATAATTGTTGCCAAAAGGGATTCAAAAACATGAACTAAACATCTCTAGTCGTGCAAAATACAGAGTTAACACTGTTGATAAGTAATATGAAAAGACAGTTTCTACTTCTTCCCTAAATCTTCTCTTGCACTGACACCACTACATTGTAAAGGAAAACCTATGGTCAAACTCACAAGTGAAAACAAAACAACAAAACCAAAAAACAGAACAGAAAAGAAACCAAACAAGCAAACAACTAAACAAACCAAACAAAAACAAGCCCACCAAAAAAACCCCAAACAAACAAAACAAACCACCAAACAAAAAAAAAAAACACCTCAAAACTGAGAAATGCAGCCCTCCCATCTGAGCCCACCACCAGATATTTTGTTCTGGCAGGACTCTAAGTGGAAAGGAGGCAGGAGGAGGTGGGGAGGAGGAGGTGAACAACTGAGAGACAAAAGGAATAGAAGGGAAGCAGGACAGGAATGTTAGCATGGTCTGACAATATTTTCTTTAAAATATTTCATAAAGAAACAAAAATACTATTTAAATATTTAAAACATCACAATCTCTGTTTTTCTTCTGTCTCTGCATTATCTTCAAACAACAAGACTGCTCCGCAGCATGAGAAAACAAGCGTTAACTGAAGAACAAGGACAGAAAGAGACAGGAAAAAAACTGGTTCCTTCAGTGCTCCCCAGCTCAAAAGACTTGTGAAGTCAGAACAGTAATTCACAAAAAAACATCTCTTTGTTGTGCCTAGACTTTTCCTCTTTGGTTAACTTCAATATGACAGTTTTGCAGTACAAACAAATCCTGCTTGCTCATTTAAGAAAAAAATAAATACCCCACAACTTTAAAGCCTTCCAATAAGAACCAAGGCATCAGATTTGCTGACTTTAGCACCATGCCTCAAGATAAAGCAACATACCACTCAGTCCACACACTGCACAAATAGAGGGCAGGACTTTCACTATCATCTCTATGCCTTCCAGACAGTGCCTCAAGCCAGGAATACATCCTTACCTTTAAATTGATTGATCACCCTAGAGGCCCACGATGAAGTCTCACAGGCTGACTTGCTTCTGGTGGGACACTTGCAAGGAATCTGTTTGACTTGTAAAGTAATCTGCCATTCTGGCTTCTCTTCTCCCACCCCCTCTCAAATTACACTGTCTCAAAAGATGACCTCCCCGAGAATTTTGCAGTACTCTTGTAGTGCTTTAAGAACTCATAGAAAACATAGGAGCAGTTAAACAGATTGTCACACTTCACCTTGAAAAGAATCCAATCCTTATTCAACTGTTACTGCAGCTCATCATTAAGCATAAAAAAAATGTAACTGTCTTAGTCTCCAGTGGGTAGAGGCTGCAACATCTTTTGCAGAACTCAGCACCATTTGTCATCCTGTCTTGAACATGGCTCCGACTGTTAGGACACAACTTGCCTCCTCAGTCTGGCACAGCTTGGCCAAAAACCCTGGTCACTACTCACATGCCTTGCAATTTTCATCAACCTATAGCTTAAGAGCTTCAAGAGCACAGTACCCTACCAGTCATAAAAAGGGTGTCCCTGAATGGTGTCCTCAAAAGTGAACTTTAGAAAATACAAGTATTTTTAACATAATTGCCTATTTCAAGCTTTTATTCTTTGTCCTGTTTCAGTATGCTTTCTAAATATTTAAATAGCACAAAATAAAAACAAATAACCTCATGTTATATTGCAGGGAAGAAATTCTACAGAAAAAACACAGGATAAAGAACTGACACAAATCCAAGAATGCTGGAAACATATATTTACATGCGTAAGTATTCATATAAGCACACATAAAAAAATGGGAATTCACATTCGAATAGCTCCCCTGTCAACTAGACAGGGTACCTACTAAGCAACATGTACAGATCACTAAAATTACTTCACAGATAAATCTGCAGAGTCAGGACAAAAAATGAAATTACTGCTTGCTTTTCAAAAAATATATGTCTTAAATTACCCATCCTATTATCTCCTGGTTCATTCTCTAATTTAGACAAGTGTATTTAAAAAGATATCCATCCTTTAACTTCACAGTTAATGTCCAGAAGTGAAAATTTGCAACTTTACCAAAGTTTTATTAATGTTTCATGCATACTTTTATTTCTCACTACAGGGTGAGAAAGGATCCCAGGGTCTTCACCACATAGTTCATACAATTTCTGGATGCCACTGATAAATCCTCATTTTCAAATAGCAGCGCAAACAATCCCTCAGGACAGGTTTTTTTTTTCCCTGAGATTTTTTTAAATTACTCCAATGTCATCAAGTCTCTAAATACTAAACAGACTAAATCTGAAAAACATTGTGATGAATACAGCATAGACAGCATCCTAACTTATTTCTTGTCTGTGCAAAACCACAAGAATCAATAAAGGGCCACAAAGCATTCTTCTGCCACACAGCTGAAGTACTGTGAGGATTGTGAGGAATCCTCCTCATCACAGTCTGGTCAGAGACCAGATGGGGCTCCACACTGACCATAAGGTTCATGTACACAGTCTGCTGACTCCCATTTCAGCAATTCTGCATACCAGACAGAGCTGGCCATCTTGCAGGAGTCAACAGGAAGAATGATTTGTAAAGCCAGATACATAGTTTAGTCTTAACTCGGTTACTGAACTGAATTTCTGTATTTTTCAAACTTTTATTCTGCTGACAAGAAAATTATAGCAACAAATAAAGTCAATATAGCCAAGTTGCTGACCCTTTTCTCAAGCTCATTGAAAATATGTGGAAAATGAATACTTAATACCCTGAGCAAGCAAAAAGGAGGCAGGAGCTCTGGCTTCACTTTGATCTTTTATTCCTGGTATGAAATAGCTCTTCGTATCTTTCTGAAGTCAACCATTCCACAGCTTCCCTCTACATCCTCATTTTAGCAGGGTAAGACACAAAAGAGCAATGAAAGGCTCCTAGGAAAAAGGTCCTAGACCTTATAGAAAACAACCTTCTTCTGAAGGGCAAAGAAAGAAAGCTTTATGTTAGCCCTCACCCATATCACCATTTCTATACCCTGCACATTTTAAACAACAGACATATACACGAAAATCACATACACAAAATACAGCCTCAAAAAGCCCCCAAAATGTTAATGGGGTATGTCCCCAAACATTTGGATCAGATGTTCAGTTTAAGCTATTTCACTATTCAACAAGCAGAAACACACATCTTTTTGGATTACCTTAGCAAGTTTCCCCTTGCACTTGCAAGACTGCTTTTCCTACCTGATCTCTCAGTTGTTGAACAGAAGTCTGAAGGCTCAGAATTTGATTAAAGAGAGGACTCTGAAGCACTGATTTTAATAGGCTCAGTTTCTCCTCATTTGCAATGTCACCTCGATCCCGAAGTTTTGCCTGTAAGCGCTCCATGGCCTGGAGGGCCCGATGTATATCTGTAGCAATAATCATTCCTAGTCAGTAGCAGAATAGAAACAGCCACACAAGGTAACACGTTTAAATATAAGCCTTTTTATTGTTCAAACTACAGAGAACTTGAATGGCTCCGTTTTGAACAAAAAGAAAGAGCCTGTCTAATGAAGCAGGAACTCAGAGACAAAGCATAAATCAGAAGCCAATGAAAATCGTATTTTTCTCCATCAAGAAGTGGGTTACAAAAATGAAAGAGCCTTCATTGAAATTCAGTTGCATGAACTATGGCTACAGTCCACTGTAAATAAATAGCGGCATAAATAGTCATAATAGAAAATATTTGTCTTTTCCATACAAACCTTCAATTCAAGAAAAATTAAAACAAAGAAATCAAGACAAGAAGGCTAAAATTTAAATGCATTAAACATATAACTGTACAACTTTTGTTTTCAAATACAAAAACCCAAACACAACATGCATTTCTAAGCACAGTAGATTATGTTTTTTCAAAACCTCTCTCAGCAGTATACACCCATTCCCAAGTCTATCACACACACTCAATTTGGCCACAAAAAGACTGTGATACAAATGAAAAAAAATTACCAATTGTTTCCAACATCTTTTCTGCTTCTCAGCTTCAATTTCAACACTGGAAAGAGACAGTAAGTATTTTCCTGAAAAGTAACAGAAAGAAAAAAAGGTCACATTTATAGAAATACTAAGCTCTGAAGGGAAAGAAAGAAGCTTGACTTTTGAAAGCAATAAACAGCAAAATAACAACCACAGAAAAACTATCTCCCCAGATAATTAAAATAACCTCAAAGGTGACCATATTCTGACTCCCTTTGGAGTCAACCAACCTTTCTGAAAATTGCTTTAGGAATATACTTTGTAATATATTTGTATTTCCATATCAAAGCAGCTGTCTGCATAGTGTTGCACAACATGTCCTGCACTGCTTTAATCAGACACTATGAATCATAGCTGCCAATGATATTCTACACTGTTTCATTGCTTTCCTTTTCAGCATTTCACAAAAGACATTCCCTGCGGGATCAATTTTCAAGCTCCGTGTTGACAATTTCAGGTGAATGAGCCACAACACATTTTTTACAGTCACCTTTGAAAGAAAAGTCGTATAAACCAGAAGGCTACAGGCTTGCAGGACTCTCACACTAGAACCTCTACTATTGATACCTATTGGAATTGAGACTGAGATGTGGATGATAGCTGAGTTTTTATCAGTGTGGGTTTCCAGGAAGGAAATCCTAGACTGGGAGAAAAAAATTCTGAAACTGCTTTGCTTATTGTTTCTTGCAGCTTTGGGGTTGTTTGAGGCTTTTTAAAAATGTACCCTTGCAATTGCTCAAAAATTTGCAGTGACAGAACATGTTTGATGAAGATGGATAACTGAAGAGAACTGAGGAGCTCAAATATCACGGAAGGTATATGAACTGATCATAAGAATATGATCTTATCTTTCATAATGATGCTTTTGTTTTCTTTGTAGTAGGAAAATACTCCAGTACAGCATCCCAAATTGAATCTATAGAATCTAAAAATATGCAGAGCAGTGATCTCTAAAACACTCAAGTGATTTTTTTCTTGAGACTTCAGATAAAAAGAGGAAAAGGAATGATGTTGACAGATCACTGGATAAGACAGCCTAACAGGATCATTAGTTATAGAACCTGATCATTCTGTCCAGCCTATACTATTTGCAGTTTGTGCAGAAAAAGCACACCAAATGGGTTTAAAATGGTCTGAAGTTCCATCTTATGGAACTTCCCTAGTTCCATAAAAATATGACTTCCCTAGTTTCAATGCACCTGGAGCTTCCTATCAGTTTTATTCACAGAATCACAGAATGGTTTATGTTGGAAGAGAGGTTAAAGATTATCTAGTTCCAGCTCTACAGCCATGAGTAGAGAACTTTCTACTAGACCTGGTTACTCAGAGCCCAGTCCAGCACACTAAAAGAATGGGGAGTCCACAACCTCTCTGAAGATTGCATTTGAATTTGACAATTGATACAGAATCACTGATAACCCTTTTTAGGGCAATGTACAATATTCAGACCCCTTAAACCTGACTTTGTCAAAGTAATGTTACTCCATGATACAAACTATGCCTTTAAATAAAAATAAGCATTTATATATATATATATATATATATATTTTTTTTTTTTTTCCTTACTTGGCAAGGAAAATCCCAGCATGAGAAACTACCATATCTCAAAAACAACCCAAATATCTTGTGTTTCCACCCTGTCACTCCACAAAACAGGACAAAATTAAGTCTATTTTGCATAGGAAGGGCTGAATGAGATTATTTAAGCATTATGAAGGAAGCTGATTTCCACAAACCTTAATCACCCATAGCTTTTCTTTCTAGATTAAAACTACTATCACTTCTATTCAGAGCTCACACTTAAAAACATAGGTATTTATGTCATGCTCGTAGATGTTTTCCTCAGTGGCAAAGGCAATGAAAGCAGTTCTTTCCTTCTCAATACTTATTATTTGAGTTGTGTACTGGATGGAACCAGCAAACTGTGCAAAAACTTAGAAATTGAGCATTTTTTAATCATTTCATTTATCACAGCACTACACACACAAGCACATAACACCGTATGTTCAACAGGTGAAACTACTCAGGAAAAATAGAGGCTTACTGTTCTGCTTTAGCTCTGCAAGAACCTCAACAAAAGATTCAACTGAAAAATGTGTCTATATTTTGAAATAGCTGGATACTGCTTTATCTTATGACTCAGTTTGACTAAAATCTCATTCTTCTTGTGCTGTGAAAGGCAAATGAAAGGAAATTTTACAAGTGACAGCATCCAAGGTCATCAATGTGCTCATGCAACCCTGAAGGTATGAACTCTAATAAATTACTGCAGGAGATTCTAAAAGCAGACACAAGTCCTAAACATATCTATAGGTTGAGATTATGCCACTTAATTTGCAATGAAAAGAAGTCCTTAGCTCTGCTAAAACACTCATTACCTACTTTCTATTTACCTCATGCTTTAGAGAGAGGAGTGAATACCGCTCTAGCGCCATGCTAGCATCAGCAAACCCATTCTGAACTCTCAGTTTATTCTCCTTATCTGGGTTTATAGTAGCAAGAAATCCCTCCCCAGCTGGCCATCTTAACACTTTTGTTGACTGCAGCAATAAGCATGAGCAAGGCCAAAACTGTCGTCAGAATATTTTCCCTCAGACACCCCCTCTGAGGTAGACACAACGCACTGAGGCACACCAGTGTTTGCCTCTACATGTTGCAGGCCAAGATGACCCCTGTTCGCTCTGCCTGCACTCTGGAACAGCAAAAAGCCACGTGACTGCTCCTGCTGTGCCACATCCATGCTAACAAGTGGGATCTGTCAGCAGCAGCTTAGTGGCACATTAACATAGTGGAAGTACTGGAGAAGCAACCACACATCTGTCCAAAATGCACTACAGAGACATATCATAAACACCACCACCCACTACAGAACACACTGGCCTTTAAATCAGCTTGCTTCTAGGTATTTAAGAAATAATGTGCCAGTGAGAAGTAGAGTGGTATGCATGATTACTTGTTGAAAGGCCGAATTCTGCTATAGTGGATATTTTTATAATGGCATCATAGATTTCTAGAGGGGGGAAAAAACTTCTGTGGGAAGTTTAGTTCTGATTTTGTCATTTTGCAATCTCCTGCCAGTCTGTGTCACAGGACTCTGAAGCCAAAAATCAGCTCCTCTATACAAGATACAACAATCTTCACACCTCACAGAGCTTACTAGCTTAGCTCAAAGCAGATTTAACTATTTTTGTATTTCAGTGCTGAAGTTCATTAATCTCTTCACAGTAATAAACATAGACTGTATGACTTAAGACTTCATTGGCAAATTGAAGAAATACTGTTAAGCAAAGAGCAAGTTAAATCTATTTCCAAGTTCTAAAGACACAGCTGAAAGTTGTGATTTGAACAACAAAAAAAACCAAACAGCCAAACAAACCAGAAAGGAAAAAAAAGGAAAAAACCCCAAACCTCATCATCCTCTCTTTTCTTTCTGTTTTAGAACATTAGAATAGAAAACACAAGGAATTTTAGACAGATATATGGTGACAAACAATGCAATATTCTCTCTAAGAACAAATCAAAGTTCAAGATGATCCCTTTCAAGCTTTCACTTCCAAAATTTGATTCTTCTGATGCTAATGAACAAAAATTTGTTATATACACATTCTGCTACTCTTATGCTATCCTTCTTTGATAACACTGATTGCCAGAAAACAGCTGTCATGTTGCAACTCTCATTTCTTCTGTCCACTTCTTAAACACTAAAATACACAGGTGGCAGGATTTTTTTAACATCCCAAATTTATTCAATCACTTTCCACTACAATTGCAGAAGGCATTTAGCTAAACAGACAAAAGATTAATGAAAATAGAAAGATGACCCATTAGCATTGATCATTCCTTCACGCCAAATCACTTAGTTTCTACAAGAAAACCTACTCTGTTTCATTGATGGATACTCCATCTACTATTTTACAAAGCCATTTTAGATAATACCTTGGAAACTAATGCTCATAGCATGGATTAGGAAACATGCAATGCCAAAGATAGAAAACATAGTAATAGGCTTTGCCTCATAGCTCCTGCATTACTTGAAGTGCTCTGAGGACACAGAGTGATCTCTAAGCCCAAACTCTGGCTTTGAGTTGCATGAGATTAAAATTAAATCTATTTCAATTAAGCAGCAAGGTAACCACAACATGCATTTTATAGCTGCTAAAAAGAATATTTTGAAACTTCTGATCTAACACTGGCCTAGATTTCTCTGGGCTAGAGATGTCCTTTAGTACATGATTTTTACCCCATGTCATCTTCTTCCCCAATTTTCTGGCTGTCATTCAAATACAGGCATATTGTGTTAGCATCGTGTGGTGCAGGAACAGAAACCAAACCATGCAGGAAGTTGGAGATACTCATTATTGCTAAACTTTCTGCTTTGCCTGCAGATTCTAAGAGCTCTTCCATTTTTCCCAGTTACCTCCCAAAAGCTGGCTACGCAGAAGGAGAACTAAGGTGGATCCCAGAATCCTAGAAGTCTTGTCAAAATTAAGGCAGTGGAAACTATTCACAGTAAATTGAAAGATCTCATGCTTTTCTAAGTGTATTTTCCTAGCTACTATTCCACTGTCACACATGCAATTTTGCTGCTGCATACAGCACTTTCTTAAGCACATAAAGGATGTGAAAATAAACAGCAATGACCATCAGGGAGAAGAGAACAAACAAAAAGAAAAAGCAAAATTAATGTGCACTGTTCCACAAGGAACAAAGTAGATTTCCACTGACTACCTGGAATGTAACAAGCAAGCAAGAGATGCCTGACATCTACATTTAAAAGCTATGCTAGTGAAAATTGTTCTGAAACATTCAAAGCAGAAATAAAAAACCAGTGTTGCACACCCTACATTAAGACTCTAAGCACTTTGAAAAAACATTACTAGCCTCTTGAAATCTAACAAAATGCGAATGCATCAAAAATACTTAGAGAGGTAGTGGTTCTGTATGTTGAAGACAGTTCTGTGATAGAACTGACAGCACCATGTACTTTGAATCAATTATGAAAACAGAATTTTGAGCTTTCTTACTTTTAACCTTCTGTACACATCACACTAATGTATCAAGGAAAGTTAAAATCCTTTTCCATGGACTAGAAATCTGTTCACTGTATGTAATTAACAGTGTTCTGTAACACTGTAAGTAGCCCTATGTCAGCATAAGATATAATATCCATGTTAACTGACATGCTAATAATTACAACTGGAAAATGGGTCTAAACCATCATGATTTCACCTACTGATAAATTGTGTGTGACACGGTGTATTCCAAATTGATTTATAAAGAGCATTCTAAAAACAGCAATATATTAAACCTGATGAAGCAAAGATTTTACAGCAGTTGCACCTCAATGTACACTGGATTCTTCACAGAGGTGACAACAGCATACATAAATGAATAAATACAAAGCCTCTCCAAACAGCTGCCAGTAAGCATCAACAAAGAGTCATCATTTTCCCTACAAACTGAAAAAAAAAATTCTCTCTGTGTATTGTGACAACAAGTGACATATACTGAAAATCATAACACTGTATTACAAGACCATTGAGGTCTCAGATGTAAGGACAGGGTCTGAAAAGCCTACATAAGCAATACGTTATTATTGCCCAGGCAAAAATAGCACATTTTTGTATTGACTTGTCTGGAATACCAGCAGTGAAACAAAACTGTCCTTATCAATGATAATGTAGTATCCTGCCAGGATGGCATTGTATTGGCCAAAACTGCTTCACCAGGATGCTCAAATATAAAGCCAATTAGAAAATGTACTGAACACATGTCACAAATTTTTATTTTATTTTTTTTATGTGAGACATGGAGAGATTTAAAAGGTCTTTAAAACTGTTCTCAATGCACTGAATAAAGTGCTACTTGTTAAAACAAAACCATCTACAGCTATCTGAGTGACTGAGAAGATAGGAGGCATTCCCCTCTGAAGAATTCACAGACCAGAGCCCCACCAGAGCCAGGTGGAATAAAAAGATCCATTAGTATGTAAGTAGTGCAGTTCTCTTTCACTAGTGCTGATAGCGATCTAATTTTCCTAGTGCACTTTTGCGAGAAGAGGGGGGAGAATGTATCCAGTTCCTAGTGAAAAGCTTCTTCAAAGCACTAAGGGAACCATTCGAAACACCAGAGCTAATCAGTTATGTTACATGCATGTTACTGTTAACAAGATAGGAGAGATAAAAATACGCAACTACAAACTGGTAACAATTTTGTTAAAAAAAATTGATGGTCTCTGCCTAAAAAATGCTGCTTGATAAAGTGGGTATATCCTTATGTATTTTCCACTTGCATTCTTTTCTTTTAGTGTTACAATTACTTCAATTTCCACAGAATCCTCAAATAATACTCCCAAAACCTATCTGACCACTTTCCCCTTTTCCAGTTTAGATTCTTCCCTACCAAGGAGTTGCTGCTTGTGAAACACAGTAGTGATATGGAAACCACAGAGCACCACGCAACAGAACTTCAGCAGCTGCAAAACTTGGACACTTCCACTTGATTTCAGTAAATCACTACTCTCCTATGGCGACAGACTCCGGACCCCTTTCTGCCACCAAAACCAATAAGGACGTTTCCCACACAATAGTTTATAGTAAAAAAAAAAAAAAAAAAAAAATATTTATACTCAAAATATATATATATATATATATATAAAATAAGACACAAAAATATAGCTGGACGACTCTGTGTTTATAAAAGCAAAATACAAGGAAAAGGAAAAAAAAATAAAACCACAACGTTTTTCAGCCAAATGGCAAATCAAATCTGTTAAATGCTGTACACGGAGTTCAAAAGGTCGGCTTTGGGAGATTTTCTTTCTTTCTTTCTTTCTTTCTTCCTAAAGCTCTTTCCAGTAACATAGGAAGGTGCTGGCAGCCAGGGGGGACACGAGAAATGAACCATCCTTTTTCTTCGCGCACCCAGACTCATCAAAGAGCGCAACTGCGGGCGGCCCCTCGCCCTCCGCTTCCACCCAGCCAAACCCGTTACGTTTAAACGCGCACCGGGGAGCTGCTGCAGCGCTACAGCGGGGTCCGACCTGCGGGGAGCGCCGACACCAGCACGGCAACAGGTACCGGTCCCGAGGAGTCGCGGCCGCCGCCCCGCCTGGAGCCCGAGGACACCGCCAGTGTCGCCAGGGCCTCCTGTCCGGCTCTGGCTCCGAGCGAGAGCCAACGCCGCCGCCCACAAGTGCCGGCGAGGGCCGCGGCCGCCAGCAAGGTCTACGGCAGCGGCGGCAGAGGAGATGTCCTCCCGTCACGAAACGCCCGCAGGGGGTAAAAAAGGAATGCGTGAACGGGCAGCAGGGCTCCCTGCAGATGTCAGGGGAGGTTCGGCTTTTGTTTACGCGAGGACGACGCCCCGCCAGGCCGCCCGAGCCTGTGGACCGCCCGCCCGCCGCAGGCCGGAGCCCCGGCCCAGCCCCACAGTCGCTCCCGCCGTCCGCGGTCGGCCGAGGGGAGGGAGGATGTGCCGGGACACAGCAACAGGCTCAGGCCGCAGCTCCACGGCCTCTCTCCCCTCCAGCCCCCCCGCCCCCGCCGGGAAGACCCTTCGGATAAAATGAATAGTAATAAATAAAACTTCGAGAGTCAAACGCGTTTTAAAAGGTCGCTCAAACTCCAGCGATGTGGCGGACCCTCCCCGCCCTTCCCGGCCCGCACCCCCGCAGGACGACTCGGACGGGCTCGCCCCGCTCCCCGCCGCCCGGCCCAGCACCCTGCTTACCCCAGCGGCTCGGCGGGCCCCGCCGCCCGGCCCCGCTCTCCGCCCTTCCCGCCCCCGAGTAGCGGCGCCGAGCGAGCCGCGGCGCGGGGGCAGCGCGCTCGGGCACGCCCCGGCGGCCTGAAAACTAATCCTGCACCCCCCGCCCGCGGGTCTCACCGCGGTGGGCTGGGCCGCCGCCCGCAGCGGCGGTAGGCGGGGGTATCCAGGGGATAGCGGGGCACGCTGCTGGTGCCCGGCCCCGTCTCTGCCGGCCTGTGTTGTCGCGGCCCTTCCCGCGAAGTTTGTCTCCCCGCGGCTGCCGGAGCACACGCCTTGCCGGGATGACAGCGGGGAGCCGGGCTGCTCCGGTTTACCTCCCCGCTTCGCCCGCTTCGCCCGTGAAGTGAAGGCGGCGGCAGGCTGGCCCCTGCCTCTCTTCCAGTGGTGCGGTGCCGCCTGCGGCCGGGCCTGGCCCCGCTTGCTGGTAGCCCAGCCACCAGCCGTACCCATCCTGGTGCAACAAGATGAGCCTGGCCTGGAAGAGAGGAAAATGGCAAATGTTTGGAAATGTTAAAAAAAAAAAAAATACAAAAAAAAATTAAAATGCCAACATCAACAAACAACACATGTTGAAGTTAGACAAAATAGTTTATAAGATCGTAGAGTTAATGAAAAGATGGCTTTTCCCTCGATGCAGCAGCTGGTTAGTGTGTTAACTAAAAGTAGGGAAGACGCTGTGTGTTTCATACATATATGTCTAAGAATAAAGCGCATAATGCAGAAACGTTTGCAGTGACCACAAAATACCTGAAAACATAAGTTCAGCTAAAGGTGGAATTATTTTGCTATTTGTTAACTCTGCTTCTCCTAGCAAATGTTATCAGGGTCACAGTTTCCTCTTTTCCTTTACGTAAGATAATTTTTTGGTGTGTATGCTCTCAGGCAGCTCAACTGAGTGAACCCCCTGCAGATGGACCCCAGCTGCTCCACTAGGCGTGTTGGCTGTGGCTCTGCAGAGGCCCTGTGAGCTTTGTATCTGCCTGCCTTCTGGCTTGGTTTGCTTCCTTTTACAAACAGATCTTAACCTTAAGTGTCATCGTAAGTTCTAATAGTTTTTTTGGGGGGTGGGACATAATGTTTGTTTGGTTGCTGGGCTTCTTTGGGTGTTTGGCGCTTTTTTTTTTTCTGACATACAAAAATTTTAAAGAAATCTATTGTTCTGAATCTAGAATGGAATACTGCCCTATCTATTTCCAAGAGTATCAATAAATGCAATCCCAGTACAAACACTTTCTTTAGCAGAACACTTAATGTGTAAACTTTAGGAAGCACAGGTCTTTGTATGTTGCATGGTTTGGGGTTTTTTTAAAAAAAAAAAAAATTGGAAAATTAAATTCTGAAAAAAAAAAGTGGAATCACTAAACAATATTTTTCTTGCTTGCTTTTATTACAAATGGTGGACTGAAAAACTCCAAATTCTTAGCTGTCTTTTCCGTTGCTGAATACTAAAATAAGTATGTAATTACACTTTTTTAAGTGAAAGAACTTAATTTTTAAGTTCTTCCACTTTTTAACTAAGAAAAGTAATTTTCAAGATTTTATTCACAGGTTCCATTTTCCAGTCTGGCCTCATAAGCATATTGCTTTTTTAATCAAACACAGATGCTCTTCTGTAGCTAGGACATTGAATGCTCTGTAACCGTTCCACCAACTTTGTGTGTTACATGAGCCTTAATTAAATCCAGAATAAAATTTAAAAAATAAGTTAGTTTGTTTCCATGTATCTTTGTTCGATGAACAAGCCACAGTTGATTAGATAATTACAAAATGAGACTGTTATTTTTATTTTTTCCTGTTGCTCAGGCTTTAACTATGGCATATGACTGAAATAAAATGCAGTGATTCTATTAAGTATATTTGAACAAAAAAAATGGTCAAAGTTAGGTGCAACAAAACTCCTGATGTACAACAGTGTCTGTCACTTGTGTAATAATTCTTCCCAGTGCAATTTTTCTTTGTGTGGGATATACCTTTCAGAAAGTTTTTTTAACATACAGACTGCTAGTCTAAAGTAGAAATACATTTTAAAGTCTATTCAGATTTTGTCAAATCCTTGGAGTATATATAAAGTAGAATGGTAGTTACTGAAGTTCAGAACATTGTGCTACCTTAGGCCATGCCTGTATTAAACATATTTGCATAAGCATAATTATGCCAACATAGCTGTTCACAAAAACTGAGTCCTCTCAGTAAACATACAACTGTACATACAGTAAACATAAAACTGTAATGGGAATTTGCATCACAGTAATCTAATGAGCTCTTGAGCACAGTAGCTGATGACACTGATGATGAAGAGCCATACAGGCACAGTTCTAGCGAATAGCAAAACAAATCATTAGGGTTCAGAGTACACAATTTATCTTGCAGATATGTTTGGTACTAGCTTTAGAAAGTCAAAAGACATCAGCAATTTGTATTTATTTATTTCTTCCTTTTGTTATAAAATAGGACCTCTCCAGCCCCTCCCTAGAAAAAGAGGGTCACAACATATCAATGATTTCCTTACTGTGGGTTACATCATGTACAGTAACACACAGTGTTTTAAGTTACGTTGTGGCTTTGTTAGTGTAAGGAGTTGGTGGATCGGTATTAAATATATTGTACTGGATTATACATTACTGTTGTATAATCTTGAGAGATCCTTAAAATGTGAGAAAAGAGACTCTACTTTGTATTTCAAGGCTAGATGTTTTAACAAATTACAAATAGTTGATTTGTCTCCACATATTAATTCAAGTGTCTCCACATATTAATTCAAGTGATTGTAAATAAAAATTGCAAGCAGTTTTTTATATCATAAGCTTTCCTCAAATAACTACTATGACTACAAAACCCATACAAAGTATTCTGTCATAAAAGGCTCTTTAGTAGAAAATAAAGGGGATCTGAAGAAAGCCTCATTCTAAGTTCTCCAGTATTAACATTCTGATATATTACATTTCTCAGGTCAATTTACAATATATTCGTGGTCAATGTATCAATATTGGATGAGATGTCTACCTTGCTGATTTAGTTAAATAAATAAAATATTAATGATCTACTGCCTAGATTTATTGGAAAATATGAAGGAGAAATAAACTGAGGAAAAAAGTCTTTACAAGGATAACAGGGGCACCAGAAACAAGTGTCCATTAAATCATTCATCAGGCTGCTGTTGGGGATGCAGCCTTTTAAAATAGTAATGGGAACAGAATCTAGCCAGTGAAATGAGAGTCTGATTCTGCTCTATCTGACCCATAAGTACTGACTTCCCTGTGAGAAGATGTTGCGTACAAAACACATTTGATTACATTTATGACACAGGTCTATTTATCCCCTAACAAAACAAAATATCTTCATAACAGTAATTATTTAGTTTCATCACTGTGGGTATCATATTTGGTATGGGCAATGTTATTGCATGCTCCACTGCAGAATGGGTAGAATGTATATTTTAGGGACCTAGAAATATCCTGTGAGAAAGGACTCAGGACTATTTATATATTTTATATTTATGTTTGAAATATTTAATCCCTGAACTTAGAATAAAACATGAAAAGAGACTCATAAACACTTTTCATAAGTACTGCCTTGATTAAAAAGGTGGATATATTTTATATATTCAATATATATTATATATATAAAATGGTAATAATTTATTATAGATCAAATTTTATTCCTGGCTGTGTAAAGCAAGAGTAATTCATTGCATTAAGTGGAATTAAGCTGTAGAAAACCAATCTGAGATCAAAGGTAACTATGATCCTAATTGCTATAGCTGCTAATCTAAATATATTAAGTATGGGGTTATGCATTTTGTCCTTATCCAAATAAGGATGGATCACCATCTTTTTTCATGGAGCTCTTGAGAGTGGAATAAGTTATACTAGCTTAAGCATACAGTATTAAATATAACACTCCTTCATTTCAGCATAAAAATTACACTTCAAAAGTCAGATGGTATAGCTACACAGTTACTTCTGTTACTGGAAGTAACATCATGTGTGTTGTTATACAGAGTTAAAATTGGGAACTTTCTCTTAACTTGGAAATGTTGCCTTAAATTTTAATTTTTGTATGTTCCAGATTCTGTGCTGCCTAGGTGTGTAGTTCTGAGTTTCATGTGAAGTGTTAGTGAGCTCTCTACACAGGGTAGGTAGACAAAACAATTCCTTTTCCAGCTTGATAAGGACAATCGTTACAAGTTTCAGGCCTAAAAGCATAAACAACGGTGGGCTGAAGAGAGAAAACAAGAAGGATGTGACTTCGTAATCTGAAGCTGTAATTGGACACTTAACCCAGATGAACAGATGGAGCAAAACTTATGGAGATGTGAGACCTTGTGACCAGTTGTCTATTTTGTGACCATTTTTAGATCCATCTTGAGTGTAGCTCTGGCCACGGTCTTGTACTACCCAAGGTGTGTCCTTTAAGGCCTTTCAATAAATACCTACTTTATTTTTAACTCTGTCTCCAGCCTCTGTTCTAGGTCAGCCTTCTCAAGGCATCACTTTCATGTTTGAAATTTATACAGTTTTTGGATTATTATCCTGGCAAGTAGTGAATATTAGTTTCACGTACTGAAGCATGCATGTTGGCAAGAATGGTACATAGATTTACATTTTAAAGATTCTTCAGGAAATTTTCTTCCCTGGGGACGTACTTCGTTACTGTTATTATTGCTATTGGAGGCCACATAAGCACAGAAGGGGAAGTATGTCCTGTAAGGTAAAACAGAGTAAAAAAAATCATAAAAGGTATGTTAACTATTTATAACTACAAAACAAAATACTTGCAATTATGACAAATTAAAAGGGCATTTATTTATACACAAACAGGATTGTTTAAAGCCACAGGCCTTGCCCATAGCAGAAAAGTGAAGCCAAATAAGTGACAAAACATATTAACTATTCAAAAATTCTTCAGACACTTAATGCCAACAAGGAGTGTCTGGTTTTGCCAGATTATGGCTTTTTTGTTTTTTTCCAAAATGTTGTATTTTGCCAGAGATTGCC